GGCACGCCTAAAAACCCACACGGCCGTGTGACCTGGCCGTGTGGCACCAAATTACACCGGCAGCCTGGAATCCACACGGCCGTGTGGTTTTGGCCGTGTAACGAACCCGAAGCCACTTAATCGAAATGTCGCATTTTGTACACTCACACGGGCAGCTGGGAAAGTCAGACGGCCGTGTGGCCTGGCCGTGTGGTCGGGAAAATCTAGGTTTTAACCCAATTTCGAGTCTTTTGAAGGGGGGTCAACTTTTTTGGAGAAAAAAACAGAGCCCTAGAGAGAGAAAGTGCGAAGAACACATCCTAGAGGTGATTTTGGAGCTGGGTTTCTTCAATCGAGCTTGGAGATCATCACAGGAGTGAAGATTGACATCCCAGAGCAGATTCTTCCCATTGTTATGAGTATGACTACTTTGTATTCTGTTTCCCTCTCTCTCTCTCTCTATGGAGTAGAACTTTCTCTCACTTGGGTATGAAGAAACCTAGTTCCATGTGTTACCACACTGTCCATCAATGGCATCGCCAGCAATCGCTCACTCGGGAAAGAGTCATCGATCTCCTCCACAAAGTTGTCCACCGGAGGTGCTTCCGACCGTGAAAGGTGATCTGCAGCAACATTCTCGGCTCCCTTCTTGTCTCGGATCTCTATATCGAATTCCTGCAGAAGCAGGATCCAGCGAGGCTTTGCATCAGCCTTGCTCATCAGATAGCAAATTGCCGAGTGATCTGTGTAGACCACCACATGGGAGAGCACCAGATATGGTCGGAACTTATCAAATGCATATACCACAGCGAGGAGCTCCTTCTCAGTGGTGGTGTAATTCTCCTGTGCGTCGTTCAAGGTCTTCGATGCGTAATAGATGGGCTGGAAGTGCTTCCCGCGTCTCTGACCCAGAACGGCTCCGACTGCATAGTCACTCGCATCGCACATCAGCTCAAAGGGAAGAGACCAGTCAGGAGTCACCATGATGGGTGCATGGGTAAGCTTCTCCTTCAAAGTCTCGAATGCCGTTGTGCACTCAGGAGTGAACTGGAATGGTGCATCCTTCCCCAGCAGCTTGGTCAGAGGCAGGGCAATCTTCAAGAAATCTTTAATGAAGCGCCGGTAGAAGCCTGCATGACCCAGGAAGCTGCGAATCCCCTTCATATAAATGGGAGGAGGTAGCCGACTGATCGTCTCAATCTTCGCGCGATCCACCTCAATCCCCTGCTTGGAGATCTTGTGCCCGAGCACAATCCCCTCACGGACCATAAAATGGCACTTCTCCCAGCTGAGTGCCAGATTAGTCTCCTCGCACCTCTTCAGAACGAGTTCCGGGTTATAGAGACAATGAGTGAAGGAGTCGTCCATGAAGACTTCCATGATCTCTCCGACCAGTCAGTCGAAGATCGCCAGCATGCATCTCTGGAAATAACCAGTGCATTACACAGCCCGAATGGAATCCTCCGGTAAGCAAAAGTAGCGAAAGGGCAAGTGAATGTGGTCTTCGCCTGATCCTCTAGTGCGATATGAATCTGGAAATAACCAGACATGCCATCCAAGAAGCAATAAAACTCATGGCCAGCCAACCTCTCCAACATCTGATCAATGAAGGGTAGGGGAAAATGGTCTTTCCTGGTGGCATCGTTCAGGCGCCGGTAATCGATGTAGACTCTCCAGCCGGTCACGGTCCGCATCGGGATCAACTCTTTCTTCTCATTTGAGACCACATTCATCCCGCCTTTCTTCGGGACCACCTGAGTGGGGCTGACCCACTTGCTATCAGATATAGCAAAGATGATCCCTGCATCCATGAGCTTCACAATCTCTGCCCGGACCACTGCCTCCAAGTTGGGAGACAATCTCCGTTGTGGCTGCCTGACTGGCTTAACCTCATCCTCCATCAGAATCCTGTGGGAGCAGAAGGATGGGCTAATGCCTCTGATATCTGTGATCTTTCAAGCCATGGCCCGGGCATACTTCTGCAGCAGAGCCACCAGCCTGCTCTTCTGCTTGGGTGCAGATCTGAGCTGATAATAACCGGGAGCTTATTCCCCTCCCGGAGAAATGCATACTCCAGGTGAGAGGGGAGGGGCTTAAGCTCCAGCTCTGGCGGCTCCTCCAATGATGTAGCTCCGCGAGCTGCTCCTCCAGCTGCACATCCTGTGATGCATGTTCCCCTAGCAAAAGACAACGCTCGAGGAAATCGTTAGTACCCACACTCGTGATGGCGAGTGCGGTCTCAAAATCATCAACAACATCACAGTAGTCTAGATCATCATGGAGCTGGGGGTGTTTCATATTATCAGAAACAGAGAAGGTGATTTGTTCACCCCCAGCTTGCAAAATCAATTTCCCATCATTCACATCAATGAGCGCCTTGGCGGTGGCGAGAAAAGGTCTACCGAATGTTAATGGCACATCCATATCCTCATTTATGTCCAAAATCACAAAATCAACAGGATACGAGAATGGCCCTACTGCGACTATCAAGTCCTCTGCAATGCCCCTAGGATGCACAATGGATCTATCAGCAAGTTGAATGCTCATCCTAGTATCACTGGGTTCACCTAGGCCTAGATTTTTAAACAGTTTATATGGCATGACATTTATGCTAGCGCCTAAATCCGCCAAGGACTTCCCTATATGCAAACTACCAATCATGCAAGGGATAGTAAAACTCCCTGGGTCTTTTCGCTTCTCTGGTAGTTTGTTCTGTAGGATAGCAGAACACTCCTCGTTGAGCATCACCGTTGACAGCTCCCCAAGCTTCCTCTTGTTGGTGAGGAGATCCTTCATGAACTTGGCATACTTGGGCATCTTCGATAATGCCTCCACGAAGGGCATACTTATGTTTACTTGCTTCAGCATTGTCATGAACTTGGCAAACTCAGTCTCCAGTCGGTCTTTGTACAACCGAGTAGGAAAGGGAAGTTGCGGTACATACTCCTTCACCACGGGTTGCGGTTTAGGAATAGGCACCTCAACCTCCTCCATTTCCTCCTCATTAGCTGGAAGTGCTAAAGCAGGGGTCTCTCTCTCTTGTATCCGAACAGGTGGATTAGTAGTCATCTTGCCACTCCTGGTAGTAATGGCCTTGCAGTGCTCATTTGGGTCCTGCAGATGAGGGATGGTCTGACCGGGTAGAGTACCAGGAGTCCTCTAAGCAACAGCCTGGGCAACACTCCCAAGCTGGGTCTGGATATCCCGCAGCACAGCCTGCGTGTTTCTCTGGCCAGCTTCTAGCTCCAAGGAACAAATCTAGACATGAAGATTGAAGATCTAGAGCGTTTACTGTATTCTCTCTCCTTCCGAGAGAATAGTTTCCTTTCACTTAGGTTTTGAGGAACCCTAGCCATTTTTTACTTGATTGGACGATTGTATGATACTTTATCTTGATAATCTTGAGTTCATATCCAAACTATACTTGTTTTCACGATTCAATTACACTTTAGCCGAGATAATTGATTCTGCTTTTGACTCTATGAGAGAGAATACCTGATTAGGCCAGTAGAACGCTACAGATTTGAAGTAGGGGATCGATAACATGAGAGCGAGTTGATTCGTTGCTATGTATTGAGTGAGAACCTCATCCAATAGAGGAAGTCTAGCTTAGAATGTCTTGATCAGTCGTGTGAGAGAAGGATATGTCCCTCTAAGCAATCGACTCAAGAAGGAATTGGTTGCTTTACTTGATATTCAATGAAGAGTGGATCAGGTAAGAGAGTCATCAATCATGAATCCGGTTAGTGATTAGAATTGGTTGCTTTACTTGATATTCAATGAAGAGTGAATCAGGTAAGAGAGTCATCAATCATGAATCCGGTTAGTGATTAGAAGGAATCATAATCTGAGTGAGTTCCCAACTTGTAATTAGCTAGTTTAACCGTTATAGTGGTTTAGTTAGTTGAATTCAAACATTGTACTTGAGATGACTTTGACTACTAGGAAGTGAGATGGAGCAAAAACGGTTGAACCATTTCCAAAGTCACGGTTTGAACCCCCAAAGTCATGGCCATGACATGGCCCCTGCTACGGGTATAAATGCATTTTTGCGAATTCTAAAGAGGGGGAAGCTGGATTTTAGTATCAAACACCCTATGGACGTTAGAGAGAGAGAGAGAACAATTTATAGCAATCTTTGAGCAAAATTGGAGGTTTGCATCGTCATTGGAGCTCGAGGAACAAATCTAGACATGAAGATTGAAGATCTAGAGCGTTTACTGTATTCTCTCTCCTCCCTAGAGAATAGTTTCCTTTCACTTAGGTTTTGAGGAACCCTAGCCATGTTTTACTTGATTGGACGATTGTATGATACTTTATCTTGATAATCTTGAGTTCATATCCAATCTATACTTGTTTTCACGATTCAATTACACTTTAGCCGAGATAATTGATTCTGCTTTTGACTCTATGAGAGAGAATACCTTATTAGACCAGTAGAACGCCATAGATTTGAAGTAGGGGATCGATAACACGAGAGCGAGTTGATTCGTTGCTATGTATTGAGTGAGAACCTCATCCAATAGAGGAAGTCTAGCTTAGAATGTCTTGATCAGTCGTGTGAGAGAAGGATATGTACCTCTAAGCAATCGACTCAAGAAGGAATTGGTTGCTTTACTTGATATTCAATGAAGAGTGAATCAGGTAAGAGAGTCATCAATCATGAATCCGGTTAGTGATTAGAATTGGTTGCTTTACTTGATATTCAATGAAGAGTGAATCAGGTAAGAGAGTCATCAATCATGAATCCGGTTAGTGATTAGAAGGAATCATAATCTGAGTGAGTTCCCAACTTGTAATTAGCTAGTTTAACCCTTATAGTGGTTTAGTTGGTTGAATTCAAACATTGTTTGACTAGATAACAAACCTAAGCACAGTAATAATACTTTGCAGAGTTTTTAGAATTCGATATTCTTACTACTTACTTCCACTATACTCCACCCGATCTAATGTAAACTATTTTTCTAAGGCAATAAAGCAAAACGTGTTGATTCCATAAGACAGAAGTATACCGAGTGCACTGATGAACACTATTCGGAGCAACCATTAAACAAATGGCTAACAGAAACAACCCAGAAAATGGCGAACGGGCCTTTTTCTAAGATAACGGGCTTTTTTCACTAAGAAGGAAACTGGGCCTAATTACATATGGAATTTAATCCACCACTTCTCACGTCGTCGCAACGGACTCTCAGTCTCTTTCCTCTGCCGCTGCATTTCCCCCTGGAGATCCGCACCGCCGGCGAAGTCGAATTCCCACCACCGCCAAAACGGCACGCTCCTCCGCTGCAGCAAGCATTAAACACCATCGGTTAGATCCTGTCCGTTCTTTAAATTATCAGTGTCTGTGTTAGGATTTAAACTCCGCGTCTCGATGACGGCCTTCCGTAGAATTAGTTGGTTAGTCCGTGAAATAGAAATGAATTGGGGCAACTGCGGACGCCATGCGGCTGTGTTGAGAAGCTTGGGTATCTATTGGGTAACGAAGAACTCTTCTTTCGTAATTGTCTTAGACAGTAGCAAAGATTATCCCCCCTTCGAGCCCACCTAGAGAGTCCGATCCTTTGGAAGTATAATAAACGCTGCTCCATAATTTGATTTTTACTGGGTGAACAGAATCGACCCTAGTTGCCATGGGGGAGCTGGCAGCTGATAAGCATGTTAAGTACATCCTGGCAGTGGAGAAGGTTTGTTCTGAATTTAGTGGGTTGTTAGAGAATTGATGGTTCGGCCAGCTTATGATTTTTTTATTTCTTTGCTCTGTTGGTTGGTTTTTAGAGAAAGGATAGTTTTGAATCTGCTGTGCTGGAGCACTTGCGAATGAATGGGGCTTATTGGGGGTTGACCACCTTGGATCTGCTAGACAAGCGTGATGTGGTAGACTCCAATGAGATTATTGAATGGATCTTGAAGTGCCAACATGAGTCCGGTTTGTGGTGAAAACTATCTAGATGTCATTTTGTTGACTCTCTAGCCAAATGGTGGGAAAATAAGGATGATGATGATGCTCTTTGATTCTGCAGGTGGATTTGCTGGTAATATTGGGCATGATCCACATATACTGTATACCTTGAGTGCCATACAGGTTTTGGCCCTTTTTGACAAGCTTAATGTTCTTGATGTCGACAAAGTGTCTACTTGTATCCTTGATGAGGTTTGAGACATTTTCATCTGCTCAGGTTCAAGAATTGTCACTATGAACGTTCAGTTTTTCTCTTTCCTGATATGTGGTGTTTCTTTTATAAGCCCTATATTTCTCGAGCATGTCAATAGAGGACTTTTTGTTGTTTAGACAAGACAATTGAATGGTGAAGTATAGATGAAATAATCGATGCATGATTGTATAAGCTGCAATTCTGAAATCTTTATGTAGATGGTACTTGGCAACTGAAATAGAAAACTGAACATTTCCAAGTTATCCAGTCTTTGTTCTGCTTAATGCTTAAGTCAGATATTGCTGGACTGCAAAATGAGGACGGATCCTTTTCTGGTGACATCTGGGGAGAAGTGGACACCCGGTACTGCTCCACTTTTCCGTATACTTTTTAAGCAAAGTATCTCAAGCTTATCCAGTACTACTGGTTTCTACATTATCCCCTGACTTTGACATTCTCATTTTCCAGGTTTTCCTATATTGCCATATGTGGTCTCTCCATATTGAAATGCTTGGACAAGATAAATGTGGAGAGAGCTGTAAACTACATCATAAGTTGCAGAAATGTAGATGGTGGATTTGGATGTACACCTGGTGGCGAGTCTCATGCTGGACAGAGTATGTTCCAATTCACCCCACGGTTTTGAATAAATCTCCATTGCAGTAGTTGTCATTTGAATTTTCTCTTGTCATTTTTCTAACATTAAACAGAATTGAGAAGTTTCTCCCTTGCTCCATGTTTGAAGTATTCTGTTGTGTGGCTGCCCTTGCCATTACGGGAGCTCTACACTACGTTGACAAGGACCTCCTTGGATGGTGGCTGTGTGAGCGACAAGTGAAATCTGGTGGCCTGAATGGCAGACCCGAGAAGCTCCCAGATGTGAGCATTTTTAATTGCACGTATGCTGGATATAATTTCTGCCTTAATGAACGTTGACATATTATGATAAACCAATGCAGGTTTGCTATTCGTGGTGGGTTCTTTCTAGCTTGACCATGATTGATAGAGTTCATTGGATTAGCAAAGAGAAGCTTATCAAGTTCATTTTGAACTGTCAGGTTATGATTGAAAATTTCTAAGCAAAGCCCTTCCCCACTATAGGTTCCATTTATCTTAAAAGTAAAAATCACAGCTTCTTACAGTTATGTAATGGAAACGTTGTAGGACACGGAGAATGGAGGAATCTCAGATAGACCTGACGACGCAGTTGATATCTTCCATACATATTTTGGTGTTGCTGGCAAGTAAACAGTGAAATTCTGCAATTTTTCTTTCCCATATCACTCAGTTTTGTTTTCAATTGAATGTGGTGAATTTTGTGGGGTTGTTGCAGGACTGTCGCTGCTTGAATATCCAGGAGTGAAACCTATAGATCCAGCTTATGCCTTGCCCGTTGATGTCGTTGATCGAATTTTCTTCAGCAAATAATTTACACGCAGAGTAAGTTTAACCATAGGAAACAGTAAACTTATCAATTTCTCTGCAATCTCCATTGTAATGAACTCTACCAATAGCATCTTTCCTCGAGAGGTCTTTGCACATTTGCCACAGAGGGCGGCTGTTGGTATCTTGGTATTTGAGACATTTTTCCTCTGCACAGATACTGTCGTGTTAACTTGGTATCCTTGAAAAACATTTTTGAACTCTGTTGACACTGACGATTCATGTGCTTTGAGAACACAATAGTAGGAAGAGGTTTATCGAACATGGAGAAGATGGGTGTTATCGGAACCCACAAATGTTGCTCCCTCTCTCCAAAGTCTGGTCCGAACCCCAGAAAGCAAATTTGCCTGTTCTTGGACCAGCGCTTGGCAACCAAGTTTCGCCGTATTCAAGGCTATTTTCATCATCGATTAAGTCTCAATCAAATCAACCCCTCAATATGATTGTTCTTTGGTACAAGAGACCCAGTATAAGGTCCAGTCTACTCTCTAGAGTTTGAATTGTGAGAACGAAACTATATTATATGAAAATCATGAGTTAATATCTATTTCTCTTGCTAAAAAAATTAGATGAGTATCAATTATTATCTTTTTTTGTGGAATTACTCACAGGGTTTTTGTATCCTTCTGTACACAATTATATTATATTATAAACTATTTTTTCTTATAGTCAGCACATAAGTCTGAACGAAAATCTTTGTATGATAACGAAAATCTTTGTATTATTAAATAAACGATTGATCATCTCATCAATTTGCATCATAGAAACGGTATGTAAGGTAAATTATTTTTATTTGGAATCAAATAATTATGTGAAATCAAAATTAAGAAAAAACATTAATGATTCAATGATGAGACGACAAAAATAACAAGCATTGCTAAATAAACAATGAAATATATATTTGTGATTAATGTTGTCAAAATCGTGGTTTAAAACTTAAAAGGTTATACTTTTACATTTTTGGGTCACCAAAACGCTTATATGTAGAATCACACTTTTCAATTACAATTGTAGACAAAATCTACACTTTAAAGGTTAAAACCTTACGTTTTTACACTTATATATAGAATCACGTTTTTTACTGCACTGTTCGGGATATATTACTATACATTTTTTGCGATGTAGATGAATCTACACAATAAATAAAAGCCAAATGAGAAAACTTGAAGCCCCATTTCAAATTTCCTGCATCCAGAGTGAAAGTAGGAAGGACATTTTGGTCTTCACAATTACTTTTTTTTATTCATTAAAAAGACACTTACTAGGATTCGAACCATGACCACTTTAAAGAAAAGCAAGGATCATTACCAATCACACTAAGTACATTTGTTGTATCTTTTTAACTTAAAAACATATAATCGCAGAGAGGAAAAAACCCTTCCCCATTTCAAATTCCCTGCTCCATGAGCGTTTGTAGGAAGGGTAGAATAGTGAGTGTCAACTTTTTTCTTTTTCCTCTATGGAACGGGCCAACTTACCGTACACATGCGGATTTAAACAGGTCCAGGAGTGTCAATTTTTTTCTTTAAGTCCTTTTATTTCTCCGTGGTGGTAAAATATATATGAAAAAGGCAAAAACAATACTCCTTTTTATTGCTAAAATGAAAAAATTTAACAATAAACTAATGCATGGATTCTAATGGGCAAACCGCTAATCATAAAATAAAAGAGTTGAATGGGCCTGACCTACACGGGATTTGCCCATCAAGTAAAACAAATGAACATCATGGGTTTGTCATTCTAAAACAAGCTATTTTCTCTAGCATAATATATATTATGCTATTATTTTATATCTTAGTGGCTAAAATATAATGTATTTTAAAGTTATTCAATGGTTCAACCTCGACCAGCCCAATTAGTCCAATTTTTATCATTAGAAATATATATTATGTAATTATTTGATATCATAATGATTAAATTATAGTGTATATTATAGGGAATCGTTTGGTATCTGTACAGAAAGATCTATTTGGTTATTTTTAACATTAAAACGATCCTAAACATTTTCATATACCTTTCGAAATTCTATAGTTTTATTCCCGAATCAGTGATGTGCAAATGGCGAATTACAGTCATCTCTTTTCTTTCATTATTTTTTATTTTCAAATAGAAAGTTTAAAAGTAAAGAATAATTAGAGTTTGGCATGGGTCGGTCAAACATGCTGAATTTCAAGTTTTGGGCCGTTTTGATCAAGTCTAATTTATAATCACATGGTTCCCTGATACCTTATAAAAATCTCAATCCAAACCAGTTTGGCAAGTGAGTCCATGTTTACCACCATTTTCTAGGGATACAGGAACGGTGTTTCCTATCCCAAATCGTGTTGTTCATTCTTGATTTCTTTAGATTTTATCATGGCTTGGCAAAAAACCAGAAAGCACAATGATGACAAGATGAAAGTTTTATAAAGCAAATTAATCGACCAACGGGCCGAGTAAAAGCTAGCAACGATTGTGAGATGCTCATTTCCCGAAAACCGGCGGGATAGGCGATTTTTTATTCGATTTTCTGAAATTCGATTTCTATAAAACTTACTCCACCTCATCATATTACCAGAAACAATATTGTTTCACAAGTTAACAAGTACTTGATTTTGGTTCATAAGGCTGATTTTTGATTCGGTGCATCATTCATGTCTCTTTCCTACTAAAATTCACTATTTTTATCACGTGTTTCCCAAAAAAGCTATACAACAATAAGCTATACACCACATTACATTATCAAATTTCATACCAAACCTTCCTCCGGGCAAATGGCCGGGGCCACGCTAGTTCAATAATAAAGTGGAAGGATTCAATCATATAACTACTAATACCACAACCAAATACTGCAACGAGTATGTAATATTTCGCGGTCTCGCCATCAAAATCATTTTGATCCACCCAATCGATGCATATCCAAACCGGGCCTGATCAAATGGGTTTTATACTATTGTTATGCTTTGATCTTACTCGAATTGTGTTGAACTATTGGTAATCTAAAATTGGATCACTTAAAATACTGATCAAGTGGGTTCATACAGAACAATAACATGATCAAGTGATGTACAGTGCTAAAAAGATGGAAAAGGGGAAGGGGAAGGAACAAATCTGGAAGACAGGGAGAATCAAAATTTGCAAGCATAGAAGAAAGCAAACAGAAAAGTTCCAAATTCCCAGTTGGATGTCGATCTACTGCTACTTCCCCGCTTCCCACTAGTGGCTTGTTTCCAGGTTGGATGTCATTTGACACGAGAATGCAAAAACCAACTCAAAGAAAAAAGTAAAAGCAAAGAACTATTTTGTGAATTATTTGATTTCAATTAGTATATTTCTAGCAGTTATTAAAGAAATGGCTGCCTTACAAAGCGCATCGGACAAGATGGCTTCCAGTCTATCTTTTACTAGAAGTGTTTGAATAAGGGGGAATTGACTCTTCTCATTTTGTTGTCTCTGTGTCCTAATCTCATTAATGCAGTGGCCCAGAAATTTTAAATATGGGTGTCTTCTTTAAAAAAAATAAAAATTAAAAAATAAAAATTAATAAAAATTAAATAATTCTAAAATAAGAAAATATCCAACTCGTACAAATTAAAAAAAAAGAGTCCATGATGTATTTTCATATTCTGAAAAAATTGTAAAATACACTTGATAGTTTATATCTACAGTGCTCAACAAATTTGTCTCGGTATATTCTACTAGACAATCATTCACGAACTTACGCATGTTCGACTTATAAATTTGTTCTCGATGTAATTCAAAGCCGAAAAAGACACTTTCAACACGTGTCGTAGAACCATAAAATCAATACAAATTAAGCATAGCTTGTAATTAGTTTAATTGTTAGATTTTGAAAATAATTAAAGATAGAGAATATGGTTGTGCTATTACTCACTATTTAGAATAGAACAACAAAAACATTGTAGCCTAATGAAAAATATATTTATTAATAATAGTTGTGTCCCGTGTTTGAATTACCCAAACTACCACTTATAATCCCATAAGCAAACTATAAACGAGAGTAGGATAATCGTTTTTTCAAATTTCAGGGTATCCTGGACTATTAATTATAATTTTTTATCCATCATAAATTACCACCGGGGTTGGATTATCATTTTTCCAAATTTTAGGGGTGTCCCGGGACACCCCAAATGCCCCTAGGTCCGCCCATGTCTCTAGTTATGGAGTAGTTTCTCTTTTTACTTGGATGATGTGAACTCTAGTCTAACATGTTGTAGATTGATGTTTGTGAACTCTATGTGATGATGGACATGTTTAATTATAAATTGGTTGAGGATTTGTCATGTAAACTGATTGTCCTTGATCAATTCTTTCAATATTGGGGCAAATTGACATGAGTGAAAGAATATTTCCTTATGGAAATTTGGGTCACTATTCGATAATAGTAGAGAGCCATGAATTAAGGTGATTGGTGTCTTTATGCCATTTCGGATCAATGTCCGAGGGAGTGAATTTGGTTTCCCTAGTGTGAAGCGTCCCTCCAATTAGATCGATTAGGCGGGTTAGGATGCACTCAAATAAGGGGCTTAACTATATTAGATCTCTTAACGGTATATAAAACCTGCCAATCGAACTAGAGTATCACAATCTCATCTCAACACGGGGCGAGTGGGATAATCATCCGAGCTGAACCTTCTCATCTTGAATTCAACATCGTTTTAGTTGTTTGTTTGCTTAATTTGATAATTTTTTAAACAACCTTCTAATCGCTAGATAATTTGTTTTTTTACTGAATTAAGGATAGACGAACCGCTCATATTGATAATTAAAAATAGATTTACCCTATATTACACCCATCTTAAAATTATACTTAATTTACGGTGGGAGTGTGTAATAGGTCGCGAGTAACTCTTCCTTTCTAAAGGTATTGAAATTTAAGTGCCACCTTGGCTGCTGCCGGCAACATCATTTGAGAGTGAATGTATATGTGTCCATCGGCCACCAAGAATAAGGTGCCTGCCCGATTGGTGTATTTCAATAGTCAACCTCTCTCTTCTCTCAATTGTCTCTATCAAACTCCTTTGCACAAAACTAAACAGAATCTTGTATGGGAGACATGATTATACGTGGGGAGCAAGAACTGAAAACTAACACATTATTTGTGTTATAATTATGCGAACCCCTCCTTTCTTACACCCTCCTCTAGTGGCGGACCAAGAAATTTTCTGTAGGGTGTCCTCTTTTAAAAAAAATATATAAATATAAATAATTAATATAAATAACATTGTAAATATGGAAATATATTACACGTACAGGTTAAAAAAGTTCATGATGTGTTTTCACATTCGGAAATAATTGTAGAATACACTTGGTGTTTATAGTGTTAAAAAAATTGTCTCTATATACCCTACTAGACAATCATTCACGAACTTGTCGCATATTCAATTTGTAAATTTATTCTTGATGTAACCCAAAGCTGAAAGACCCTTTCA